ACATCTGTAGAGATTTAGATACAAACAATATGTGGATGCTTCCAGGTGAGATACTGAGTAGGGTCAAAATGGACTAAAACTCTGAGATTTCCCAGGAAACTGTAGGGAGTGAGCTGAGCCGTGACAAAAGGTGGGGGCCCCAAAAGTGGGTCTTGTCAGAGTTTCTGGAGCTTGGGCATCTGAGCCAGGGGCTAGCAAATGAAAACGTGAGGTGCCATCTGCCACCAGGGAGCATCCTGGAACTCGGAGCCCTCCCTTTTCCGGCCTATATCTGTAGAGCAAATCATGATTCCTGACTTTGCAGACCACGGGGGATGCTTCCCTGGCCTTGGCCTAGAGGCCTCAGTCCTAGTGAATTCTTTTCCTAGCAAGTCAAGGTCACCATCCAGAAGGATGGGCCTTAGGACTGAGGGCCAGAGGTGAGCAGAGACTGAGGTGGGATCAGAATAGAGGCCTTACATCCCCTCTCAGCTGGAGAGGCCCCATCCTCGCAGTAGAAGACCAGGAGCCAAGCCTGACCAGGCTATTCCTCACTGGGCCTTAGCCATGCTCAGTTTTTTGGTGGGTGTATGGGCCCTTTTCTCCCTGGACACAGGTAACTGGATTCACCTCATGCTGTAGTAGTTAATAATAATGTTAGCATGCATTTATATAGTGCCTACTGTGCACCTGGCACTGTGCCTTTGAATGCTTTACAATTGTGATCTCACTTGAGGCTTACAACAACCCTGGGAGGGAGGTGCTGTTATTACCCTCATTTTACAGATGAAGACACTGAGGCAAACAGAGGTGCGGTGATGTGTCCAGGGTCACACAGCTAGTGAGTGTCTGAGGCTGGATTCGCACTCAAATCTTCCTGACTCAGGCCTAGAGCTACATCCTCTGTACCACTGAGATAGTTAGAACAATGATCATGGGTTCCGATCCAGCCCCTGTTGGCTGTGTGGCCTCCCTGAAACTCCATTTCCTCATGTGTCCAACGGGTGTAATAACAGCAGGGGCATCACAGGCTGCCAGAGAGAGTCAAGCGAGGGAGCAGGCATGGGGCAAGGCTGGAGTTCTTTGGTCAAGATGGCTTCTGTCCCGTCCAGTGCATCATCTCCGATGCTCTCACACTTCAGCCGGACCCCCCTCCCACTTGTCACTGCCACCCTGCTGCCTGTCCCCATGACCACAGGGAGCTTGCAAGACTGGCCTGACCCCCACTCTCAGGAAACACCCTGCTTGGCTTAGCCTGGGGTGTGTGAGAAGGGGGAACACTGGGGTCTTTTTCCCAGGGAGTCATGGGCCCGAAGCCACAGACAGGGAGGCCGTCTCTCCCAGAAGAACTTTAGACGCCTGGCAGCTGGCCCAGGGAACTTTGAAAACCAGGGGCTTTTGCGCTGCCTGGGTCAGACGGGCCTTCACCAGCTATTCCTGCCTGTACCTGAGAGTCGTGTCAGGATGGGCTCCCTCCCCCAACCCCGGGCGAGTTGTATGAGGGGGACAGTCTCCATCTCTGCAGAGTCTCAAAGGAGACAAGGGGAGCTAGTGAAAGCAGGAGGGGTCATGGTCAGACCCCTGCCTTCTGGAGGGCTTGTCCAGAAAAGGGGCCTGGAGAGGCCTTTACCACAGGTGGATGGAGGCAGAAAGGTAGGAGCTGCCTGCTGAGGCATGCAAGGCCCGTTATCTGTTGGAAGTTTGTGGACATAAGCCCCAGGCCAGCAGGGCCTCGCAGGCAGAGAGATGGCCCATAAAGCAAGGATGGGAGCTAAGCAGGAGTCTGCAGACAAAGCTGGCCTTTCTCTGAGTCCTGGGCAGTGTGCCATCTTCCTGAAAGGGAGGCTCTACGGGAGCGGGACTCCAGGAGGCATCTCCATCATGGCCAGTTTCATTACACCTTGGAAGGTGGCCAAGATGGAATCGTTGGAAAAATAGGAACTTCCCCGTGGAGGTTTATCTTCTATTGACAGTAATTTTCAGTGACACGCCACTGTTTCTGAGACTGGGTGAATGCCCTTGTCACCACGTGGCCATCCGGACGTTCCAGGAGCAGAGGCAGCATAGCCCAACAATCATCTGTGTGGAGGCTATAGCTCCGGGTGACAGAGGCGCCTCACCACCACCCTTCTAGGGTGGGCATGCGTCAGGTGCTCCGCACAGCTTGCACCAGGAGGTCAGCAAGCCCTTCGTCATGGCCCAGACTTGGGGCCTCATGCAGACATTAAACCCCGTAGTGAAAATGGGTGAGATCATCCAGAGATCGGCCCATTTGGAAGAAATTTCAGGCTCGGGACTGCGGTATCCCAGAGCCTGAAGGGGTCTCCGAGGCAAGTCCAAGTGATGCTCGACCAAGAAGCCCTTGGCCACAGTAGCTATTAATAGGCGGCTCCTTGAGGGCATCTGACTAGATTGGGCTTTCCGGTGGCTGGGTCCTCTGACACCACCTGCCCCTCCCCCTCTGCTCCCACAGCCATCATGTGCAGTCTGGCTGCCCTCCCAGCACCACAGGACTGAGTACCGGACCCTCTGCTGTCTCCATCCTGTTTCCTCTTCACCAAATCTAAATTCTAATCTCTTGGGTCTGCCACTTACGGCTTGTCAAAACTGGTCCCACTTGTGCTCCAAGTGACCACCCTTCAGACACTGGCCACGGCCCTCCTCCCCCTCCCCGCCCCCATTTAGACATCTGCAGTTCTTCCGCTGGTCCCTAGAGGGCACAAACTAGAGGTGCATCGGCGTCCTGTTTGCCCTACTCTGCACGTGGCTGAGCCTCTCCAGGTCCTTCCTGAAACGGGGTTTCCCGAATGTAACCTGGTGCTCCAGGCATAAACTAACCTTATCCCTAGACCAGAGGATCTTCTTCATGTAGCTCCAGCTTGTATCCATGTTTGTGGCTGTGGTGCCGACTTAACGTTGAGCTTGTGAAACAGTCACACTGCTAGACGTTTCCGGGATCAATCGATCAGCATTTATTAAGCACCTACCATGTGCCAGGCACTTCGCTACGTGCTGAGGAGGCAATCCGACTCTCAAGGAGGGAGTCTAACAGGGAAACGCCAGATACACGGGACTTGGCTGCCTCACCACTCTTCCTCAGCTTGTGCTCATGAAGTCCGTTTGTGAAGCCAGGGGAAGAATTTTCATTTATTCTTGTAGAATTGGGGTCTGGCTTGCTTTCCAGCCCTCTTGGGGGGATCTCTGTAGCTGGATTCTTCCCCAGATCTTAGGCACCCACACATTCGGGAAGTGGGTCATGTATGCCGGTGCCTCTGGGGCCACTTGAGCTGACTGCCAAGATCTGGTGGTTTCCTCTGCTCCCCCAAGGCTCCTCTTGTTAGCCTAAGGCTGGTTTGTGTGGATTATTCCAGTAGATACTATGTCTCTAGTCCTCACACTCCTAGAATAACTCCCTTTTCTCTTGCTCCCCACTGCGTTTCCTAATGGCCCAAACCTCCCAAGGACAGTCAGAAGAAACATTTAATTGAAGTAATAAGAACATCACGCTGTGAAGGGATCTGTGTGGGTCAGCACTGAGTCTCATTCATCCCTTCTTGCCAACCCAAGGTATAAGCTTCCCAAGACCCTCGGAGTGGACAGGAGGAAGGAAGGTGGCCAGAGCTCACCCCCTCCCAGCAGAAGACCCAGCTTCTGTCCGGTCTGGGCATCCTTTCCCCTTGTCCTAGGACCTCAGCTCCTTCGAGGTCCACTGCTCTGCTTCCACCATCACTCATGAAAACTTCTCATGGGCACTGCAGCTGCTTCCACTAACCAACCTATCTATGCGAGACCATCTTAACAGGCAAGATATTTGCTTCCTGGAGGAGCCATTTATTTTAGAAGCAAACATTTCCAGAATTAGTCAGCTGCTCACTGGTTTTCTTTTTTGTGCTAAGAGCCAAATGTTTTCAAATAGTTCCCACCTTTCCATGAACAGAAGTCATCCCGTTGGGAACACTTGCAATGGTATACTCTGGTATTGGCCAAGCTTCCTAGTAAATCTGTACATGGCTGCAATTTCAGGGACAGAAATATGCCTTAAGATAATAGAATCCAGAAGACATGAATGTCAAGATGACAGTGAACAGTTTTCAGCTTAACTCCCAAACCCCTCTATCTCCAAACAATAAGAATTAGATGTCAAAATTAACATTCCATGGAGAAGACAAGAAACAATTTCTCGTCAGGGTCATCACTCCCCTCATCCCCCTCAGATCACCCCTTTCCCCTGAAGGACTCATGAGTTAAAAAGTTCAGAAGAAGGACATTTTTGGTAAGTTGGGGCATGATGCCCCACACAACCCCTGGGGCTTCCAGGGTGCTTTCCGGAAGCACTCTCTCCTCCAGGGAAGCCTCCCCAGTGACAGAATGCCAGCTTCAGGACAGAAGGTGCTAGCCGCCTCTCACATTCCAGTGGAAATCAAACGACTGACTTCAGAAACTTTCTCTGTATTGGGGTGAATCCTCTTTGTAGGAGGTTGCTCTGATCTCCTTGGCATCCTGGCATGGGGGCATGCATGGTGTCTGAATTCTGTAATTGCATGTTTGCAAATTGCCAGGGACAATTCCTACAAATCTCTGTGATGTTGAGACATTTAATGTCTGATTCAACAAATTTCAGAAGTGCAGTCCTATGCTGGGCAGGGCACCTAAGAATTCCGAGGGCAGGTGGCTTGGATGGAGGACAGGGTATGTGTTGATATCAGGGGCCTGAGGTGAACGCTTTTTGCCACAATGGGCTCCCTGCTTCTCAAGCCTAGAAAAATGCAGAGAGGGCCAGCCTTCACCTAAAGCCCTCTCAAAGCCAGAAAGAGATCCGAGTTAGGCTGGGGGAGGGGGGTGGTGAGGAGGCAATCAGCCAGAGAAAGACCATCTATGGCAGGGGGCGTCTTTCTTGCCATCCTGCCTCCCTCCCCCAGTCTCTCCTACCATTCCGCCACACCATGCCTGCTGGGCTCTGTTCACTTCCCAGGTGAGGCGCCCCTACTCTGAGGGGGCTAATCTCTCTCCCATCCTCACAGGCTCCTACATGGGCTGCTTCATTGACAGTGTCCAGGACAGGACTCTGAAGGGAGCCGTGTTTTATGATCTGAGGAAGATGACAGTGGCAAACTGCCAGGAAGCCTGTGCTGAGCGGTGAGAGTTATAGGGAAAAGGGTGTGGGGGTGGGAGTGGGGAAGAGGTGGGGGTGCTCAGTAAGAGGCACAGGAAGTGGGAGGCACCCACCTTCACACCTTTCCCCCAACCCCCCTGCCACCTCTCCTAGAGTCACTCTCCTAAGAGTCACAGGGGGTATGTGAGGAGGGGGAAGAAGAGGAGTGGGTGCTCAGTGAGAGGTACAGATAGCAGGAGGTGCCCATCTCTGCCTTGACTCCTCTGTCTCCTGGCCGGCCACCTCTTCTAGGGTCACCAGGCTAGGGAAGGGCCCCATGGGGATGGCTTGAAGGAAGGGGGATGGTCAGGATGGAGAAGAGAAGGCTCTGGGGGGGCAGGAGAGTGAGGGATCAGGCAGAGTGAACCAGGTGCCAAATCACAGGGGACTGGGGCAGATGTGGAGAGAAGCTTCCTTACTCAGGGAGAGCAGGAGTTGAGTGCCCTCCCCATTGTCCTTGGGGCTCATCCAGTAGAGGCTGGGTGACCATTTCCCAAGAGGGGTCCCAAGGCCCTTGAGGTCCTGGGCAGCTCTGAGAGGCTCCTCCAAGGTGAGAAGGCATCACCTGAATAAACTAACAAATTTAGCTCATCAGTGTGGCCCCTTCTACTGTCCTGGGGCCACAGATGTTCAGAGCTGGACACTTCTGCTAACCTCGCCCATGCAATGAGTCAGCCATGCCTTGATCCACCTTTACCTGAGGCCTTGTGGAGAGGGGAATCTCATGCTATCTTGGATTACTCTGAGGAATGTCCTGTCCCCAGGGTCTCAGTGACCCACAAGCTCACTGAGAGTCGTGCCCGTGTTAGTCAAAGGCATTATTGAGACAGAATGTCCAGGACTGGGGCACAGAAAGCAGCCTTTTGCACTCTGCTCCCCAGGCCATAGCTAGAGTGGGGTGCTCAATTCTGGGTCCCCCATTTTAGGGAGGACACAGAGAAGTTGCAGTGTCCAGAGGGGCAAACAGGATGATGCTAGAGGAGATGACTGGCTTGTTGTGACAGGCGGGAGGGACAGAAGCTGGGGTGGGCATTCCCCAGAAGGCCACAGGTGCTTCCCTCAGGGAATGGCCACCCAGCCCTCCTCAGCCTCTCTGGTTTCTGTTCAAGCTGCTGCCTCCTCCCCATGAATCAGACTCTGCTGTGAGACTTGGGGGACTCTGGCTGCCCAGGGCCTTCCTCTCCAGGGCCTCCAGTCTCCTGGGAATGGCCCAGGGGTCTCCCTCTGATTCTGGGGATGCTTCTAGGCCATTTCCCAGACTCAGCCCTGGTCCCTAGACTGCAGTGGCCCAGGGAGGCAGAGTGAGGAGGTGGGGGGGGGCGGTGAAGGAGATTGCTGGAGGTCCATCCCAGGCTTCCCCAATCCTTATTAGGTCCAGAAAAGCTTCCTGACACATCAGCCCCCACAGTGAGGGCCCCACCCCTGCCCATGCAAGACTCCATCCCCATGTGAGAGGGGGAGGCCTCCAGTGAGCCCCCCTGCCAGAGGCTGCCACCCCACTCCAGGATAGATCTCCCTCTTAGTCGTTCTTTCTCTCCAGCCTTAATTGGCCTCCCTAATCTCTGCCGTGGGCAAGATCCCAGAGCCTTTCCAGGAAGTCCTGATGTGAGCATTTGAACAGGAACACTCTGTGGACCTGGGGTCCCAGCAGTGAACTGGCCTGAGCTCTGGGCAGCCCAGCCCCAGTCAAGCTCAGCCCTTGGGCCAACTTGCCCAGGGATAGATGGTCGGGTGTGGGCTCCACCCTGGCCCAGGCTCAGTTTTGCTGGGTCAGTCCCTTTGTCCCTTCTCTGTGGGGGCCTGAACCCTGCCTGACCTGGGCCTGTCTGTCCCCCAGGTCCTACACCTATGCGGGCCTCCAGTATGGTGCTGAGTGTTACTGCGGGAACAGGTTGCCCAAGAGAAGGTCCAAGGCGGAGGAATGTAACCGGGAGTGTCGGGGGGAGAAAGGCTCCGTTTGCGGGGGGCTCAACCGACTCTCTGTCTATCACGTCGGGGGGCTCTTGCTCAGCTCTACCAAACGTAAGTGCTGCTGGCAGCCCAGGGGGGCTGGAGACCCCGGAGGGCAGAGGGGGCACTGGGCTGTGCTGCAGGAGCCCAGAGGAGCCTTTTGTGTGTCTGGCCCCAGGCTGGCTGCTGAGGAGGAGAAGGAGGAGGAACAGAGATGAAGAAAGGGACCAGAGAGGAGGAGAAAGGGGAGGAGGAGGAAGAGAGAGGAAGAAAGGGACCAGAGAGGAGGAGGAAGAGGAGAAAGGGGAGGAGGAGGAAGAGGAGAAAGGGGAGGATGAGGAAGAGGAGAAAAGGGAGGAGGAGGAAAAGGAGAAAGGGAGGGGGAAGAAGAGGAGGAAGACAGGAGGGAAGAGAGACCAGAGAGGAGGAGGAGGTGGAGAAAGGGGAGGAGGAAGAGGAGAAAGGGGAGGAGGAAGAGGAGAAAGAAGAGGAGAAAGGGGAGGAGGAAGAGGAGAAAGGGGAGGAGGAAGAGGAGAAAGGGGAGGAGGAAGAAGAGGAGGAGGAGGAAGAGGAGGAGACCCAACTCCCGTGTGCTCTCAAGGAGCTACCAGTCTTTGCCTGCGTGATCCAGCCTTAGGCCACAGGCCCCATGTGAGAATCAGAGGATATACTTGTCTGACATGGCGGGAGAGGCTCCACGCAGGGGCTGGGATACAAGCTGGGCTTTGGATGTGGGAGAGGACCAGAGCCTTCCACAGAGGAAAATGCGTGCTGGAGCCCTCAGAGCTAGGGAAGCTGGCTATAGAGGCCCACACCTCCCTGGCTCCCGTCCCTCCCCAGACTTGGTAGTGGGACAGTTAAGGAGTGGAGGAGGCCAGGAGGAGCCCCTGGACCTCGGACAGGGACACTGACTTTGGCCCCCATCCTGTGGGGCTCTGGCGACTGTCTCCATGTGGTCCTTCAGGCTGGACACGGGCCAGTGCTTGGCTCCTATCAGCCTGTGGGGTCTGTGAAGGTTGTGCACAGTCAAAGGGATGTGCTGGGCCTTATCCTGGGCTCCCCTGGAGAAGAGGCAGGTGCTGGTGCCTGGGGCACCAGTGTTGAAGGTCATGCAAGGCCTCCATGTTCTGGTTATGGGCAGGGCAGGGCTGAAGGCTGGGTCTCAGGGTGAGGAAGCACCAAGGGTTTCTTTTCCAGCAGATTCCTGGGCTGCCCCCCACTATGGGGGGGGCCCTACCTGGGTCCTTCTGGGATGGCTCAGAGATTTCACCCAAAATGAGCACCTAGATGGGTCTGGGGGAGCCCACCCAGGTACAGAGAGCCATGTCACAAGGTACCAACCCGGTTCAGGTACCAGTAGCCCCCTACTTGGGACTGATGGGTATCGTACCCAGGACATTCATTCATTGTTCTCCGAGGTTCTCTCCCTGATCTGGTGTCTGTGTGTGTGCCCATGTAAACATGCTGGTGCACTCGCACACGCACATGCTCACACACAGGTTATATACCACGTGTCCATGTGGTTGTACATGGGTGCATATGCACATGCATGTGGACAGTTTTCCCCAAAGCCCAGACCCTACCCTGTGGGGAGGGGAGGAGAGGAGGGAAAGGACACAGCAGGGGAGGATCTGGCTGCCCCCAGGTTCCCCAGCCTGAAAGGTTGTGCCCCAGGTCCTACTGAGATTCCCCTAGGGCCTCAGCTGGCCTGAAGATGGCAGTGCCCACCGATTGCTTGGCTGAGTCATTCACTGACTCGTGGATTGATTACTTCATTCATTAACAACATGTAAATGGACAGCCAGGCTGACCCTGGGGGCAAACAAACAGGGAGTGGGTGGGGGCATCAAACGCCATGCTGCCTAAGGATGTCCAGAGGCTCAGAGACCAGAGAGAGTATGCAGTGACCCCTGGGGAGGGGGCCACTGCAGCTAGGCCTTGAAAGAAAGGTGAAGGTGGGGGAGGAGCCTACAGGGCCTGGGCAAAGGTCTGGAGGCAGGAAATCCCTTGGCATGTGGGAAGCTCATGTAGAAGGGCCTGGGTCTGCTCTCCTTGCATGCTGCCCCAGAGGCCCCCAACCCCAGCCCTAGCCAAGCCTCCCACTGCTCCTGGGCTGTCTCTCCCTCCAGCCTGACGAGGCTTTTCCATTCAGGATACTGAATGGAGTTCCATCCACTTGCTACTGAGCTGAGACTCTCTATGCCACAGCCCCCACGCAGCCCGTGCTTCCTCCTCGGCTTCCCTTTTCCCTGCCTTGGAGGCCCCTTTGGGCAGGTGGGCTGCCTAGCTGCCTGGCCTGGAGGCTCCCTCCCTGCTCTGCACCCCCGTCCCGCACCCCCCCTCCCCCGGGCTTCTCCTGTTGACAATGGAGAAAGGGTTTGTTGTTGCCATGGCAACCCTGTGGGCCCTGATTCTCCACCCACCCAAGGCCCTTGATGAGCTGAGAGCAAGTCTGTCCAACACAACCCTTTGAAGGGCTGACTTTGGTCCTCTCTGAGCCAGAAGCCAAACATGTTGTGCAGTCTGAGACAGGCAGGGCCAGAGCAGGCCCAAGACCTCTGTATATGGCTGCCCACCAGCCCCTCCTTGCTTTTAGAAGTCTGGTGTCTGCATGTGGATTTGTGGGCTTCCTTATCTTGTATGTAAGTGGTGTGGGGGGAAGATGCCAACCCCTGGAGCCTGCTCGCTGCCCAGAGTGAGGGCAGTCTTGGGGTGGGGCTCCTCTGGCACCTGCTCGGGACCATGTGTCCAAGAATAGCCGAGCTCCCTGGAGCACCGGTCCTGCGCCCAGCCTGGCCCCCACAGCTGCCAGTGGGGGGAGTAGGTCTTATAGAGAAGGACACAGCTGCCCCCAACACCACCACTGACCCCAACCAGCTACAGCCCCTGCCCCCTCAGCAGCCACAGCTTCTGCAGACCCAGAAGAGACGTCCAACAAACGGCTCAATCTCAGCAATGGAAACTGTCTTATCAACAGACTTTGCCCTTTCCATCTGCCCCGCAGCGGAACTTCCTAGAGGCAGTCAATTAATAAGCATGTGTGAGGTGTCTACCAGGCATCAGGCTCTGGACTAAATGCTGGGGATACAATAACAGCCCCTACCCTCCAGGAGCTTCCAGTCTAATGGGGAGTCAACATGCAAATCACCCTGTACAAACAAGCTAGGAACAGGATGAAACAGAGAATTAACAGGGCAGGCACTAGCATTAACGGGAAACAGAGTTCCTTGAGAAAAGGGATTGTGTTTCTTTCCTGTTTACATCCCCAGTTGGCACAGAGTAAACGTTTAATAAATATTCATTCATTCACTCACCCACTCATTCATTCATCCACCCATTCATTCACTAACTCATTCCTTCATTCACTCACTCATTCATTTATTCCAGGATTCTCACTGCTTAGCTCCAGAGAAGCAGGTCCAGGAACTGAGCGCAGAACTTTGCAGTCAGAGGCACCATCATCCTGGGACGGGGCTGGAGGAAAGACCAATTCATCAGCTGAGGTTGAGCTGAGAAGCTTGGAGGAGGCAGTCTGGGGTGGAGGCTGGGATTTGTGCCTCAGTGGCCCCTTTGCCCACCAGGAAGCCCTTTGCTAGAGAGCTTACCTGGGCAATTAGAGGAGGGGAGAGCTCTCAGCCAGTCACCAAGCATTCATGCAGCACCTACTTGCTAGGTCCTGGGCCAGCCAGGACAGAGAATTATCCCTGTTTGTTGGGACCTCTGAAACAAGTGCCTGTAAAAACAATGACGGCATCTATATAGAGGAATGCCAATACACACAGTTGTTCAATACAAGGGAGGTTGGGAGGGAGGGCTCTGGCAGGTGTGGCAATCAGGGAAGGCTCCAAGAGGAAGAGTATGGCACCTGAGCTGCATCCTAAAAGGAGAGAGAGAGAGACAGAGACACAGAGACACAGACACAGACAGAGAAGGGGGAGGAAGAGAGAGAGACAGAGACAGAGAGACAGAGAAGGATAAAAGGAGAAAGAGAGGGAGGGGGAAAGAACAAGAGGGAGAGAGAAGTGGAGAGGGAGAAAGAGGATAGAAGTAGAAAGAGAAAGAGATGGAAAGAAGGAAGGTGGGGGGGAAGGAGAAAGAGAGTGAAGGAGAGAGAGGAGAGGCAGAGGAGAGGAGGAAGAAAGCAGGAACGGGGAGAGGGAGAAAGAGAAAGAAAATAGGAAAAGGGAAAAAAGAAAGGCCCCTTGGTGTCCATGTCTTCTGGTCTGGCACCCATCATGAGATTCCAGCCAGATGTCTGTTTTCAGGCCCCCTTCCATGGATCTGTAGCTAGGATGGGGCAGCCATGCATGTCCCAAGACTGAACAATTTGACCCATGACATATAAGGGGCTAGGTCTTGTTGGAGATACATTGCAAATGAAGCTGATTGGGGGGCCATGGTGCACACAGCTGGAGCAGGGCAGAGATGGTGTCAGGACAGCAGGCATGGATGGGCTTGGGATGGGAGCAGCTTCCCCACTCCCCCCACCCCAGATTCTCTCTTTGTCCTCTGTTTTCTTGGCCCTATTCTCTTCCAGTTCCACCTCCTGCCTCGACCATAGCCATGGTTTGTCCTGTATCCCCTCCTTGGGGTGTCCCCTAAGGTTCTGCCCTGGGGCCAGTTCTCTCCTCCGTCAACCCCCTCCCGATGGTCCAGAGTGTTTCCTCTGAGTGGGAAATGGGCTAAGCTGGGGATCTTCTTTGGGGCAGCTTCCTCCCCCCTCTACTTTCCCCTACCCCAGCACTGTTCTCACTGTTCCTAAGGGAGATCTTGTTGCTGTCCTGGCAGGAAGGACCGTCACCTACCGGGGATGCTTCCGAGTGCCCAGGAACCTCACTGACACGCTGGCCAACTCATTAACTCAGCCCAACCTGACTGTGGAGACGTGCTCACGGCTTTGCTCCAGTAAAGTAAGAGCATCCCTTGTTCCTCAGCGCCCTCCTCCTCCTGCTGCTGCTCAGAGACACGGTGGTACTTGGAGGGAGGGTGGCTAGACCCCCAGCCCCCATAGAGGAGAAGGGAGCTAGCAGTCACTCACAGCCTCAAGGGACATAAGGAAAAGCCGGTGTTGTATAGGTGAGCCAGGGCACCACTTCTCACAGATGGTGCCCATGGGTGCTATGGTTCACCAGACAGAGCAGGATCCTTCAGGCTCACCAGCCATGTCTTAACTGCTTCCATAAAGCTAAGGTCTGAGAGTAGTCCATGGATGGCAGCTCTGGGCACAGCTGTTGGCCCCATGGGGAAGCAGGCGGCCAAGGCTGTTAGAGCTGACCCTGTAATTAATGTGGATCTGCTTCTGCGAGTGGTCTTTGACAGCCCTCCCAGCAACTCCCATGGGCTCAGAGATGTCCCCTCTGCTCTGTCCTCATGGTCCTATGACCCTACAGCAGGGAGTTTCTATCCCATAGATGTCCAAAGTCTGGGACAAAAATCAATGGCTGGATGGACCCATCAGGGCAGTGGTCTTAGGATGTGCAAGCCCCTCGCCTAGTCTTTGGGTCAGGGAGGTCTGTCTTTGTCTGGGTTTGGAGGGCATTCTGTCCAGGGTTAAGGATCAGGCTGTGGCCAGTTGACAGCAAGCTGTGCATGGCTAGTGTTAGGGGTCAAGCTGTGTCCAGCTAAGGGTCAGTCTGTGTGGCTGGAGGTGGAGGGGGGGGGAGTCATTCTGTGGCTGGCCTTGATCTTACTCTCCCAGTGGTCTCAGCCTAGGGGCAGTTTATCCACAGGCCTGTTTTGATGTGGGCTGGGCCTCCATCTACCATATCCAAGGACACTCTGCCCTATGTCTCCACATGGGTGCATCTTTGCAGATCTGGTCCAATCACCAGCAAGCCCCCACTGAATACACCCCTTGTTTCCTTTATGGAGAACCGCCTAAGAGGCCCCTGTGGTCACTGCATGCTGGTACCACAGTGTGAGCTCCTGGACAGCAGGGCCTGCTTATAATCTGCCCAGGTGGTACCTGTCACAGGTTCATGAAGTAGGGGGCTAATCCAAGCTAGGTGACGAACTTGGTCCAGGTCTTCCAGGCTCAGTACTGCCCAGAGGGAGGGCTCATTCCTGGGGCCTGGTGGTAGAGGTTGGCTCCCTGCCCACCTGGGTCAGAATAAAGCCAGCAGAGGAAATGGGTCAATAAACATTGGTTAAGTGCCTACCCTGTGCCAGAAACCATGCTGCGCCCTGGGGATACAAAGAAAGGCAAATCCTCCTGTGGGGCTCTCTGTCTATGGGGGAGACACATGCAGATGGCCAGGTGCAAGTAAGCTTTGTACGGTGTCAGCTGGAGCTAAGCAGCAGAGGGGGCCAGTATGGTTTTAGCTGGACCTTGAAGGAAGCTGGGGCAGGGGATGTGGGGGTGGGGCTATGAGGTGGAGATGAAGGGGGAGGACAGCCAGGCCTGGGTGCTGGACAGCCAGAGAGCATGTCCAGAGTCAAGAGATGCCGGGTCTCATTCATGGAACAGCCAGGAGCCCAGTGTCCCTGGACTGAGAAGGATGAATCGGGGAGTCAGGTGGGAGAAGACAGGAAACGGAGAAAGGGGCTGGTCATGAAGGACTCTGAAGGCCAAATGGGTTTTGTATTAGATCCTGGAGGCCATAGGGAGCCATGGGAGTTCGTAGAGTACAGGTGACATGGTCAGACCTGCACCCCCAGGCTTCTAAGTGAGAGGTGATAAGGGTTGCCCCAGGGTATGGCAGCAGAGAATGGAGCATAAAGACCCGTGTCTGCCTCTGGGATGCACAGGTGGTGGCTGTAGTGAAGATTATGAGGGGCCAGCTTCCCAGGGCTTCCAGCAGAAATACAGGTTAGCCTCTGCAGAGAACTCTGGGCTGGAATCAATGCCTGGCAATGACTGATTGATCCGACATCATTTCCATGATCTTCAAGATGTGTCCTCATTTGGACAAGATGCCCCTGGCCTGCTGGCGGCAAATGAGGTTCATATGGGGATGTGTACGGGCCTCACCATTGGGGAAGCTCAGGGTGTTGTCAGATCTCAGAAGTCCTTGATGACTACTGTCCACTGTGATGCTAGAGTTTTGAATGCTAGTCATGCCCTCCACCCCCACCCCAAGGATGCTCTACACGAGCCATACCAAGGTGTTAGAGTGGGGAGTGTCCAGTGCTGTTTGGCTGGCCACTCCTAGGACCAGTCAGACTGTCCCCTCCCGTGCTAAAGGATTCCTGACTCTGGGTGCCCACCCCTCCCATTCCCTAGCCCCTCCTAGAAATCCCAGGTGAAATCCCAGAAATCCCAGATCTAGACTGAAAGGCTATGAATTCTTTACTTGTTAGAAATCTTTGCTCTGATAAATCTACCAAGGATTGGTCCCCAGTGGTTAATCTCGAGGCCAGGAATTGATAGGTCTTTCCTCTAGAAATTCTTTTGTGGCTTCTTGGTTTGTGTTTCTCATTTTGAATTGTTTGAGATCATTGTTTCTTTTTAAAACATTGTTCTTAAGATATTTTATTTGTTTAAATCAGCCAAGACCTGTCCTCTCCCCTCCCCCACCCACTGAGAACACTAGAAGAATAAAGACCCATTGCCCCCACACAGAGCCAAGCAAAGGGAATTTCTGCATTAGCTCTGTCTAAAAAAACATTTATCTCATTCTGTGCCCTGAGTTCTTCTCTCTGTCAGGAGGTGGGCAGCATATTTAATTATTAGTCAGCCAGAATCCTAGTTGGTCATTACACTGATAAGAGATCAGCACAATAGTATTCCATCACATTTATAAGCCCTAACTTGTTAATCTATTCTCCAATTCATGGGCTCACCCTCACATTTTCATTCATTTCTACCTCAAAAAAGAACTATAAATATTTTTGAACATCCTTAGAATTTGTTTTGTTTAGGACTAATCCCTGCATTAATCTTCTCTTCCTCTAATTCCCCATTCCACTTTTCCCCTTTACTTCCTATTTCACTGTTCAGTGAAATGTGTGTGTGTATGTATATATATATATACACATATATATATACACATACACACACACACATATACATATATATACATACACATACATATACACATATATACATATATATACACACACACATATATATATACATACATACACATATACATATACATATATACATATATGCACACATACCTGGTTCTCACTCTCTCTCTCTGTCTCTCTGTCTCTGTCTCTCTCTCTCTCTCTCTCTCTCTCTCTCTCTCTCTCTCTCTCTCTCTCTCTCCTTCTTTTGACCAGTTCAGAAGAGAGTGAGGCTTAAGTGTGAGCTGCTCCCTCCACCCCTCCTCCTTGTTTGTATGGATGTCTACTTATGTGCCCTGATTATGTGAGATAATTGTCCCCTAACCTTCCTTTCCCTCCCCCCCGCCCCTCCACAACCCCTAGAGTATTCCTCTTGCCTTCTTTTTCCATTCTTTTCTTAAGATCATCAGGATGTGATGGAAGCACTCTCGGGTCTTGTCTAATTGGACTCCCCCTAAGATTCTAGATGGTGCTGGGAATCTGAAGGAACACATGTATCAACTCCCCAGATTTCAGTGGAAGCAATTTTTCCTTGTTTAATCTTTTACCATTGTTCATTCACGTTGATCTTTGTGTGCTTCTCTCATCTTCTTGTGCTTGTCCTCCAGATTTTCTGTACAACTCTGATCTTCTCATAGGAATGCTTGGAAATCGTCTATTTCATTAAAAGTCTATTATTCCCCTGTAGGATTATACTGTTTTGTTGGGTAAGTTATTCATGGCCATAAGTCCATATCCTTTACCTTCCAAACTCTCCAACCCTTCATTGTGGTGGCTGTTAAATCATGTGTGATTCTGACTGTGGCTACTCAGTATGCCAATTCTTTCTTTCTGGCTATTTGCAACATTTTTAATTTGTCCTGGAAGCCCTTGACTTTCACTATGATGTTCTTGGGAGTTTTCAGTTTGGAGATGACAGACGGATTCTTTCGATGTCCACTCTGTCTTTTGGTTCTAAGAGACCTGGGCAGTTTTCTTTGAAGATTTCTTGAATGTAGGCTCTTTTCATGGTCATAGCATTCAGAAAGTGCAATGAGTTTTAATTTTTTTTCTCTGATCTTTTTTCCATGTCAATTGTTTTTGCCATGATACTTTACTTTTTTCTATTTTTTTAACCTTTTAATTTAATTTTTAATATTTCTTATTGTCCTGTGGCTTCTATTTGGTCTGTTCTAATTTTCAGAGTTTGTTGCTTGGGCAAAGTTTTATATCTTTTGTACAAAAATGTTAGCTCCTTTTCCAGTTCTTTCTTTCACAACTCTCATGTTTTTGTTTTGTTTTGTTTTTTCCATTTTTTCCCTTATGGATCTCATTTCATTTATTAAAAAAAATCAAAATATTTTAACTCTTTAAAAAAGAAATTCTTGCTTTATTTATTCTAGGGATTCTAGTTGAATTTGTGCTCAAGGTGGGTTTTTTCTTAGGCTTTGCTTGTAGAGGCTTTAAAGACATTTTCTTCTTCTATATTTATATCTTGGGCATCCCTGCCACAATAATAGTTCAACGTGGTGGGATTCTCTTTTTTTTTTTTTTTGTCTGCTCCTTCTTCCAGCCTGACTCCTGACTTAAGATTTTATGTTAGGGCTGGGCTTCTAGAGGGAAGGTTTGAGCTGGTTCTTGGGGTGTTGAGTGTAAGGTTATTCCAAGATCTCAGGGACAGCTCAGACCTGTAAGCTCCCAGTGCCTCCGGAGTGGCCTGATCTAGGAAAAAGGGTAATTGTTACCCCTCTGACTGAGCTCTGCAAGTTCTTGACTTGGATTTGGGTCTGTTCAAGAGTAGACTGCTGCTGTATTTAGCCCCTATCAGCCAAGTGGGAAACTCTGTTGACTCAGAACAGCAGAACTGCAGACTGCTCTTTAGTCTGGGATCCCTGCCTCTGTAGGCTGGTCTGGATGTTGG